GCCCCGCCGCCTTCTGAGAAGGCCTTCTCCTTCTCGTTCCCCCCCCCTCGCTCGCCGTCGAGTGTTGGCCCCAGGGCCCGCATGCGGGCCAGCACGTGGTGTACAAAATGGAGGCGCCAGGATCGGGGAGGCCGGCCCGTGCTGGGCGATCTCTCCGTCCTGCTTGGACGCGCCGCCGACGCGTGCGGCCGGCCGCACGGGGCCCCGCCGTGGCGCGCACGGCGATGCCCAACAGCAGTTCCTGTTCATTCTGAGCAGGACTCGCTGTCGGTGTCGCCGTGGCCTGTGTCCATTTGAGACAGAAGGCCGCCTGCCCAACAGCGGCCGCCGTTGGTTTGGGACAACATCTGTTGTTGGGCATTGTACCCATTTTTTCCGTACCCATTTCGGGTGTCCAAACGGATCCCGAGTCCGGCGCCCCTGAAGGAGTTTGTCTTCGGCATTGCAGAAGCTCGGTGCGCTTCATTCCCCTCGGCTTCCTTGTTCTTCCTCCTCCTCCCCCTCCTCCCAAAATTGCGCGGAACACAAAAGACGGCGTCACCCCAACATGTTAGATAGTACGTGTTCGTCGCCCCCCTCATGGGCGCTTTCTGGCCAGACCGCTCGGGAAGCGATGATTACACTACACGATGGTTATAATACATCTCCGGGTCGGATGCACTCCTCCAAAGAGAACGCATAACCCTGAAAAGGCCTTAAGACCCCCCACCGTAGGGGGTAACTAATTATTTGGGGTGGACTAATTGAAGGTCTGGGGTTCCCACAATAGGTGGTAGCCGATTCTTGTATCCTCCTCCTCGTCTTCGTGTCGTTCCTAAGAAGCAGGAGGAGGCGGAGGAGGAGGAGGAAAAGAGGAGGAGGACGGAGGAGAAACGAGGAGGAGGAGGAGGTGGAGGAGGGGGCGGAGGAGGTTGTAGGACCAGTCCTGTTCACCGCTGAAAGCAAAATGAGGGGACCAACATGAAAGACCTCTAGCGGTTAGTACTCGCGTGCTTTCGTGCGTCCCAGAGATCTCCGCCTTCCAGCTGTGCTCGGAGGAGCGGGGGTCGGAGGCTTGCGCCCCATCACCGACGCATCGGCGAGGCGGCTCGATGCGGAGCCCCATTCCCGCCACATCCATGGCGTCAATGCGTCGCCGGCCTCGCCGATGCATTGGCGAGGCGGCGCGGCCCTTCGACCCCCTCTGCTCGGACCCCATCTAATCAGAGCGTGAATTACCTACCCCGCTTTCGCTTCCAGGCAACACCAAGTCATACCACGCGCCTCCTCGTCAGGCGGCCTGACCAGTACAGGCCGTAGTGTGGCATCGTTTGGTATCTCTTGGAAGCGAGGGTGGTCAAAAGCGAGGTAGGTTTTGTGTCCCCCCCATCTGCGGAAGCCTCCAAAAGAAGGGGGCCCGCCGGGGCGCGCAGCGGAGCCGCCGCGGCCCGCGCGCGCCCAGCTCTGGCCGCGGTGGCGCTCTGCGCGGCCGGCGCGGCGCCGGCCCTGTGAGGGCTCCGCGCCCCGCCTGCGCGGTGGCGCGCCCCCTGGCAGTAAGTCGGGCCTGTCCCCCATACAAGGGGGAGCTTCGACGAAGAATAAAAAATACCCCAAGAATAGTCAGAAAATAGTCCAAACATAGTCTGGGGACTATCCCGGAGGTCTTTTTTTGATTTTTGGGGGGCATTTTTGGGGTACTTTTAATTTTTGTCGAAAATCCCCCTGGCAGGAGCCGCGACGGTCCGGTCGAGCCGCCTCGATGCTCGCGGCCTCCTGGATGGAGATGTCCTAAGGGATCCCATGGATTGCCCAAGGACTCCGAGCGATGTCCCAAGGAAGCCTCGAGCCTCACAGGTCACGGTCGAGCAGGACCACAAGTTCCCCAGGCCGGCCAAGCTGGACTGGCGCAGCTTGAGGTCTAGGCCTCCCAGATGGGGTCCGAGTAGATGGGGTCGGAGGATCGCGCCGCATCGCCGACGCATCGGCGATGCGGCTCGATGCGGAGCCCGATTCGCATCGCGCCGACGTCGCCGATGCATCGCCAGCGTCGGATTCGCTTCGGAATTTTGAGCAGAACGCACCCCTGGTCGGCGCGCCCCAATGCAGGACCCGTTGCGGTCCGACCGAACGTTCTCGATGTAGATCCGGGTCCGATCCGATCCAATGCGATCCCGCTACGTAACCGCTACAGGTTTTGAGTCTTGGTCCCCTCCCCTTTTTTATCACAGCCTGCTCCTCCTCCTCCTCGTCCTCCTCCTCCTCCTCCTCTTCCTCGTCCTCCTCGTCGGCGAGATCGCAATCGCATTCGCTGCCGTCGTTGTTGCGCGGCGGGCACGGCGGAAAAACAAGCAGCTGCCCCTATATTTGCGGGGCGCCATCATAATAATTCCAAGGCTGTGCCTCGGAGGAAGAGGTGCCTCCCGAGATCTTTTTTCCAAGGCTGTGCCTCGGAGGAAGAGGTGTCTCCCGAGACTTTTGCCCCAAGGCTGTGCCTCGGAGGAAGAGGTGCCGACGCCGCTGCCCTGCCCTCGTTGGCGCCTCTCTGGGCCTCCTGGGGGGCCCTCGTCGCCCGCGGCCGAGGTCGTTTCGAAGTTGTGGGCAAAACGTACGGGAACATAACAAGTTACATCAAGTGACAATGGGCGGAACGTGGGGAAATATTAGGGGAACGAAAAGTGGCATGAAGTGGCAATGGGTGGACAGTAGGCAGGACATATGGGCGGAACGTGGGGAAATATTAGGGGAACCAGAAGTGACATAAACATACAAACTCGGAGGTCCGCGCGGATTTTTCGGATCGGCGCTGGACCCCCCTCCCTGGCCGCGGAGCGCGCCAGGGGCGGCGCCGGAGGCGCCGCCTGGGGGCCCCATCGCCGATCCGAGAAATCCGCGCGGACATCCGCGTTTTCATGTTTATGTCATTTTCTGTTCCCTAGAACGCGCCCCGGGAGAGGTCCCGCGAGTAGCTGTGTCGGTAGCTTTTGCGGTTGCCCCAACCCCGCAGCGTCGTTCCGATTCTGTTGCGGTGGGGATTCGCAGCAAGACGCCAGATTTGTTTCCCCAGGGCGCCTTGGGTTTCCACTGTGGTCTCTTGGAAAGGCACGGCCCATTCCTGCAGCCCTCGATTTCGAGCAACAGAAACCTGCGTTCGGGGGTCCGTGCGAAGTTTCTGGAGCGGCGCTGGGCCCCCCTCCCTGGCGCGCGGGGCGCACCAGGGGCGGCGCCGGAGGTGCCGCCACGGGGGCCCTGCCGCCGATCTTGGACATCCGGGCGGACCTCAAAAAGTCATGAGTTTACGCAGAAAACGATGGTACCCGATTCTCACGCCACCCCTTGTCGGCGAAACTATATGAGTTTCAGCCCTGGAAATGATATCTTGCCCTCGGAACCCTTTGCGCGGGATCCCACCAACATCATCATAGGATCCCGACCAGTCCCGTTTGGTTGTCGCCGTTGCCGCCTCGTCGCCGCCGGTTTTTTTGGCTCGGGTGCCAGGTCGCCGTCGCCGCTCCGCCTGTCGCACGGGTTCTGGTGCTGGACCCGACGCTTTCTTGTCGCTGTCGCCGCCTCGTCGCCGCGCGTCGTCTGGGCTCTGGTGCCCCGGTTGTCGCCTTGTTGTCGCCGTCGCCGCCTCTTCGCCGCGCCGTCGCCGCCGCGCCGTTGTATTCCCTCTTGCCATCGTATTGCGTCGCATTGGTTTGCTATGTTAACGGGTTGCTCACGACATCGTTCGGCAGCTCCCCGCCCGGAATCCACGCGGCTGTCTCGGTGCTATATCGTTGAGAACACAGGCGGAAGATCGATGATCGCGCAGCGGGTTCACTTGTTGTCCCCGCGGGCCCCCCTCTGCGGGCAATATTTACATCCATATCCAGTGCGTCTTGGGCTTTCTTGGAAGGGACGCCGCAAGGACGAGGCGCACTGGATATGGATAAAAATTGAGCCGCTTGGAGGCAGGTTATGATCCATATCCAGTGCGCCTCATGTTTCTTGGGAAGAGTGTCCGAGACTCCAAGACGCCCTGGATGTGGATAAAGACATTGCCCGCACCCCTCCACGACCGAGCCGCCGGGCGGGGCGCCGCGCCCCCCCGCCCTCCCGCGCCGTGCAGGAGCCCCGCGGGGCGTGAGCCGCGGGGTGGGGGGGGGCGCCCCTCGGGCGCGCCGTGCGCGGGCACCGCGGCGCGGGGTCCGCCGCCCTGCCCGCCGGGAGGGGCGGGGGCGACGCCGACGCCGACGCCGACGACGAGCACGACGCCGCCGCCGCCGACGTCGACGACAATGACGACGCCGACGACGACGACGACGACCACGACGACGACGACGGAAGACGGCGACGGCGTCGACGACGACGACACGACGGCGACGCCGACAACGACGGCGACGGCCACGACAACGCCGCCGCCGACGGCGACGACGGCGTCGACGAGGACGACGACGACGACGTCAGCGTCTCCCTGTCAGAGCCCTCTAGCGAAACGCTGCTGGGAAAAAAAAACGCGACAGAAGGTCTTGGGCAGTTGTGGGTCAATGGGGGCCCTCGCCGAGCCCCGGGACCGCCAAGCATCCCCCGGCTCGGGAGCCTCGAGACGGGGGTCAATGCAGACGGGGGTCAGCCAGGGAGCCAGATCCTGCAGGATCCTGCGAAGATCCCCTCCGGCTGACCCGGGCCAGCGAGCCGCTCGTGGCCGCGAGGCGGCCGCGCCCACTGGTTGACCCGGGTTTGCGATGACCTGCGTTGCAGTGTTTTTTTGTCCTGCACTGCAGCTTTTGGTGTCCTGCTGACCCGGGTCTGGATTAACCCGGGTCAGAAGATCCCCGATCGGCGGCGAACTTGGCGGAACTTTGGCGCGGGGTTCGCCGCCCTGCTTGCTCATATAGTTATTCTTGGCGGCGCGCAGAGGGGGGTAGGGGGAGGGGGGAGGGCTTCTTAGAAGGAGGCCGCTTCTTAGAAGGCGCCGGCCTTACACTTCTAGACAAGGCCCGCGCCTTCTAAGAAGCAGGGGTGCTTCTAAGAAGCCTTCCCCCCTCCCCATACCCCCCTGTGCGCACCGCCAATATTCCCATCTAGGGGGTAAAGTAGTCAGAGGGGCGGGGGCCACGGTTGGAGGCGGCAGGGGGTAGAATTGGTTGGGGCCCACGAGAATCGGTCAGGAGTGCGGTAATGAGACAGTCCGCTCAAAGTCGGTCCCGGGACCTCTCCCGGGGTCCACCTGGTGCAGTTGTTCCCCTCGCATCAGTTTTTCACAGTTCAGGGTCCCGATAAGGGCCCCCAGAGGCCGAAAAGGGGAGAACAAATTCCCGAGCCCAGAACCTCGAAATTGCCTGCCCTTCCTGCTGGCCGGAAACAGTGCTGGGCCACCCCGGCCCCCAGCCGGTTCCAAGGCAAGGCCAAGGGCATGCCAGTGGCCAAGAGCAGTGAGCACGGAGTGGATGTACATAGTCAAGCATGTGACCAAACGCATGCAAGTAATTTCCCTCATCAGGGCACCGAAATCGGAGCTCCAAGTTTCGGCTTACAGATGGCCAAATTCGGCAAGGGGTGCGCCGACGCGGTGATGCAAACGAGGCGCAGAGAACATAATCGCATCCGAATTCTTCACCCTTCGCATATCCCCACCAGCCCGTTCAGAAACGTTGAGGAGCCCTCACGGGAAAAGGAACGACGAGACACATATGTGAATCTAAGCGGGCAAGCAGGGTGAACATAGATTTTTGGAGCAAGTGGGTGGTTTTGGATGGTCTCTTCGGGCCATCCCTGGGTCCCACGTGGGGGCGAGGGAAGGAGTAGGGAGGAGGAGGAGGAGGAGGAGGAGGAGGAGGTGGATGAGGAGGAGGAGCAGGAGCAGGAGGCGGAGGAGGACGACGACAACGACCACGACCACGACTACGACCACGACGACGACGAGGAAGAGGAAGACCAGGAAACGGAAGACGATGCGGGCCAGGATGAGGACGAGGATGAGGAGGAGCAGGAGGAGGAGGCGGTCTCGCGGTCATCGTCGGCATCGCCCGGCGGGTAGCCGCGTTCGCCCAAGCCCACGAGGAGGAGGAGGAGGAGGAGGAGGAGGAGGAGGAGGAGGAGGAGGGAGGGCTTGGAGGAGGAGGAGGAGGAAGGGGAGGAGGAGGAGGAGTTGGAGGAGGTGGAGGAGGAGGAGGAGGTGGAGGGAGGAGGAGCAGGAGCAGGAGGCGGAGGAGGACGACGACAACGACCACCACGACCACGACTACGACCACGACGACGACGAGGAAGAGGAAGACCAGGAAACGGAAGACGATGCGGGCAAGGATGAGGACGAGGATGAGGAGGAGCAGGAGGAGGAGACGGTCTCGCGGTCATCGTCGGCATCGCCCGGCGGGTAGCCGCGTTCGCCCAAGCCCACGAGGAGGAGGAGGAGGAGGAGGAGGAGGAGGAGGAGGAGGAGGAGGAGGAGGGCTTGGAGGAGGAGGGGGAGGAAGGGGAGGAGGAGGAGGAGTTGGAGGAGGAGGAGGAGGAGATGAGGAGGAGGAGGAGGAGGAGGAGGAGGAGGAGGAGGAGGAGGAGGACAGCACGGGGCGAGGACAAGGCTCTCACAATCGCCTCTCGGGGCCCTCCTGGGGCTCCTTTGGGGGGGATCGTGGGGTCCTCGTATGGCTCTTTGTGTGGGGTCTCGGGGCCCTCTTGGGGCTCTCATAGGATGGTGATGATGATGCTGATGATGATGTTGATGATGATGATGATGATGATGATGATGATGATGATGATGATATTGATATTGATGATGATGATGATGATGATGATGATGATGATGATGATGATGATGCTGATGATGCTGATGATGATGATGATGGTGATGGTGATGGTGTTGATGATGATGATGATGAGTTTGCTGATGCTGATGCTGATGCTGATGATCATGACGATGATGCTGCTGATGATGATGACGATGATGACGATGCTGATGATGATGATGATGATGATGATGATGGTCATGATGATACTGATGCTGCTGCTGCTGCTGCTGATGATGATGATGATGATGATGATGAGTTTGCTGATGCTGATGCAGATGCTGATGATCATGACGCTGATGATGATGATGCTGCTGATGCTGCTGATGATGATGTTGATATGATCATCAGCATCATCAGCATCAACATCAACATCATCATCATCGAGGGGGTCCCGTGGGATCATTGATGGACTCTTGGGGCCATCACGGAGGTTATCAAAAAGGGGGGGGGCAAATGTGCCTCACCCCCCTGGGGCCAACAGCGTCGTCTCTTGGGCGCTCTTGGGGCTGTCTGGGGGTCCTTTTGGGCACCTCTTGGGCCTCGTTGGCCATTGTGGGGCCATCTTGAAGCCTCAAAAGCGCATCGGAAGCGAACAGGCGAGAAGGCTACAGTCATTGATCTTCTATCGATTGTTGAAGGATGGTGGCCTCTTGCGGGGTCCTGAAAGGGGTTCCGAGAGCATTTAGAACCGTCTTGTGGCCCTCGTAAGACCTCATGGAGGTATTGTCGGAAGCTATGTTGAACCGTCTTCACCTATCTTGAGCCAGATTGGGGGCCATCTTGGAGCATGTTCCCTATTGTCTATTGTTTTCCGACTGGTTTATCCAGCTAAGAAGCCCAGCCGCCTCAACGACGGGGATGTCAATATCCACTGGCTTCAAAAACCTTGTGCGGTCTTCCGAAGTTGTGGACATGGACAAAGGCGGGCCACGTCGTTCCCACCCAGACCCTCCTCCACCATCATTGTTTGGGAAAGCAGCACTGATTTTCTTGTGCGTTCGCAAGGATGCGGCCGTCGGAAAAACACCCGCCAGCATTCCAAGGGCGCGCATGTGTTGAATGAAAGGGGCGAGTCAGAGAGGGTGTGCCTTCTCCTTCTCGCACGCGCCCTCGCAAGCCATCTCGTCCCTCTCGTCGTCATCGTCTGCATACGTTCCCTCTCCTCCACTCGTCCCCCCCCCTTTTGTTGAGTCGCCAAGTATTTCTGTGACACGGCGAAGGGATTTGGTGTTGTTAAGGGCTGGTGGCTGCACTGCAAACAAGGACTCCTCCCCATGTGGCATTCAGCGCAGGCTTGCAAATCGGAGAAAGCCGCAATCCTTAAAGTGCGTTGTGTATCAGATCAGAGGCGCCCCTGAATCTTCTGCTTCAAGACGTCCTCGTGCATCATGTCAAGTTTGAAATCTGATACGGTCGGATCGAGGTATCAGATCGAGGTCGGCTCGGGGAGGTTGCCCTGATGCTCTTCGTGTTTGTTGGATGGTCTCGTGCACCCTGGGGGAGGGTACCCTCAACTGTTCTTCAGTTTGGCCCGCAGGGGGTGCCGCGTTTTTGAAGGATGTTCTTTCATGCTAGGTCTGGCCGCATTACTGCTTCTGGAGGTGTTCGTGTCGTCGTCTCTGTGTGGCATCGGCGCTGCGGTGCCGGCGGGCTCGCCGTCCAGCCCTCGCGGGCCGCTGCGGCGCGCGCAGCCCGTGGCGCGCGCAGCAGAAGGTGTGTCTGCTTGCTTTTCGCCGTCGTGGCCGCGAGTTTCCGGGGGGGGGGAACACACACACAGACACAATTAAGATATGGGAAGATATGGGACGTGGGGGGAGGAGGACGAAAACCGGGAACATGTGGGAAGATGTGGGGAAGCTTGTGATTTGTCTTCACTGGTTTGTGTGTCCGGGTCCCAGGGCCCCTTCAGAGTTGCTGGCTGGAAGGGGGGGCTGCCCCGCCAAGGAGCGGGAAGGGGTAACTTAGGCGACGGCGAGCGAGGAGGATCGGGAGCGAACGGCGGGGGATGGCGCCCAGGAGGCGCCGCAGGAGCGGGGGGGGGGACGGCTTTCCTATCATCTTTTCCTTTCTCGTTGCTCGCGCCCCGTTTCTTTCTGTTCCCCTCCTCTCAGGCGGTCGCAACCATGGAGTAAGAGGGCGTGGATTAGCGACGGGTCCCGTTTCCATTGGGAATCGCGGATTTCCGCCGTCGAGCGAGGCGGCACCGGCCGCGTTTTGGGGAGGGCACCTCATCCGATCCATGGTTTTGGCGACCGCGCGCCAAATCCATGGATCGCAATCCATGATTGCGCGCCCCCGATTCTCCTTTCTCGTGCCTCTTTCCTTCTGTTCCCCTCCTCTACCCCCAGTGAGCCTTGCGCACGTGCGATGTAGCTGTCCCAGCGGTGTCGTTTGACTGTCGGTCTGTTCGGATCGCCGACTTTGCTGTGGGCGCCGGGGATGGCGACGAGGAGGAGGGAAGGACAGGGGCACGGTGCCGATGCTGATTCGCGATGCCAGGTGCACGGTGGCGGACCGAGGGCGATTGTGGTGGGGATTTGTTTGACAATGATGCTCATCCTGGCATCCATGATCGAGTCCGAGTAGCAGTAGTAGCAGCCGTCAACAGAAGTCCTGGAATTGTTGGCAGCTATCCAGTGATTGTTGTGGCACAGCATTCGTCGCAGCATCGGTGACAGCAGTTCGTAGGATTGCGGAAGTTGAAAGATTTGGCGGTGTCCCGCCGATTTTGGTAGCAGGCTGGGTTCCCAGGTTCCCGGTTCCGGGTTCCGGGGTTCCTGGTTATTGGTTCTGGGCCGATTCCGGTGGGTTCTGGGTTGTCGGGTTCCCGAATTCCCAGTCGATCTCCTCAGCGAAAACCATCCACTGATTAGGGTATTTCGCTGGTGTAATTGTAAACAGTTGTTGCAACGGTGTCGATGATGATAAATAGTACTCTAGGGCTTGGTGAACCGTAATGAACTAACTCTACACCATTCCTCACCGGTTTCGCTAGGCTGGGTTCCAGTCTTTGGGTTCCAGGAGTGTTCTCGCTCATTCCCACGCCGTTGCCGTGTGTGTACTTGCCCACCCTCCAGATGCCCGTCCTGCCGTCCATTTTCAAGTAATAGCCCACCCTCATCACTACTGTTGGAAAGTGGTTCCGTGCCTGTTGACCCCGATACATCCACTTCTGTTCTCCCACCAGTGCTGCCCAGCACGTGCGTACCCAGTGCTCGTGCCCTTGTTCCAGTTCTATCTCCCCCCTCCCCACCTTCTGGAAAAGGAGGATGTGTAATTCCCTTTTAAGTCGGATGCACACTAGAAAAGGAGGATGAAGAGGAGGAGGAGGAACAGGAGGAAGAGGATGAGGAGGAGGAGGAGGAGGAGAAACAGATGGAGAGGTAAGAAGAAAGAGGAGGTGGGCACCCCCCGCTTCGCCCCCCATCCTTGAACCCATGCCCCGCTTCCACCCCCCCAACAAACCCTCAAGGCCGCCTTTGCATCCGCTGCTTGCTCGGTCCATCCGTGCCTTCTCGGCCCTTGCTTGCCCGTTCGGTCCATCCTTGCCTGTTCAGCCCGAGGGCCTCACATCCGTGAGCACTGTGCAAACAGGTCGTTCCAAGGGGCATGAGAGTGGCCGTCTGTTGGCCCTCCGCGGTTTTGGAGAGCTCGTCGATGATCGCGCTAAGAAGGTGGGGGGGGGGACAGTTCTTGTCATGGTTGGCCACTGCAGCGGCTCCCTCTGCCCATCCTTAGTTGTGCTGGCCCCTGGGCTCCTCGACCTCTTCCCTGGGACTGATGTCTCATCCAGGGTAGACGGCCCCGGGCCCAACACGGTGCTCCAGTTGCGCATGAAGAGAGATGCTCCCACACGTTGTTTTTGTGACGAAGGACGTCCTGGTCTTCCTCTTCCGGGGATTCGTAGAGGGAGGCTTATCCCAAGGTGCCGTAGGGAACGAACTCAGTTGGTTGCTCACATGTCCTTTTTGTCCAGGGGTCATTGGGAGCGATGTTCTTCCAACCCCACCTCTGCCCCCACCCCACCTTTACTTAGGTGTTCGATCATGGACCCCTTGTTAAGCGCAATCATCCAGCTTTCTCACCGAAAACAACAGGAACCGCAAAACCGACGAAGACCTTCAGAGAACCGCCGAAGACTGCCGAAAGCCGCTGAAGATCGCTGGAAGACCGCCAACGACCGGCCGAGGCAGATGGGCAACCAGGGGTCCACGGGCGAATATGTAGTTTTACGCCCCCTAGGGCTACCAGATCTGCCGTAGCCTGTGTGGTCTCGGGCGACGGCAGGTCCAGTAAGTTGCACGTGGCGGAGAAGGCGTCCTCCGAGCACACATCACTGAACCAGGTCTCACTAAACTCGCAGACGATGCCTCGCCCCCAACCCTTGATTCTTCCACGAAAACTTATGCCACTCAGAAGAGGAGGGGAACTCGGCGATGCACCCCAGGGGGGCTGATCGGACGCATCCCTTTGGAGGCCCCCCTGTCGTACCCCCCGGCGTGGCGCTGAATTGTTGGTCCCCTCGAAAACCCCTGCGAAGCCAGTTAGAAACTTGTCAACGCCTGGCCCTTCCTCCCCTCGGAGGAGCGTCGCCCGCATTCCTCTCCTCCGCCCGCCCCGCCCACCTCCTCACACTCGGTTCGGACGCGGCTTGGCCATCGCCGGCTCCACAGCGCCCCCACCCTCCCCCCATCGACATCCACAGAGGCATCAATTCCATGCTGCCCTCCTCTTGCTCCTCCTCCGCCTTCTCCTCCTCCTCCTCTCCCTCCATTCCTCTTCCTTATAGACAACTCCACCCCGTCGCGCCCAGAGGCCGGTCGAAAGGGCGGGCTGGGCGTGTCGTTTTGAGACCTCCTCACCGCTTGTGAGCCTGATGCTCAAACATTGGCAACAGCTTCACGGATGGAGGGCGGGTCGTCTTCAAGATGTGCTTCTCGTATTCGTGCCGCGCGCATGTGCTTTTTTAAAAGCAAGAGGTCTGCGGACTGAGGGCTGGTCGTTTTCACTATGTGGTTGTCGCCGCAGCGCCTCGCACGTGTACAAACAAAGGGAGATGCAGTGCTTTTACGGGTCCATTGCGGTTCGTTTTCAAGATGGGGTTTTCGTCTTCGTGCCGCGCGCATTGGTTCTAAAAGTTTGCAACGGTTTCACGGATTGAGGGCGGGATGTCTTCAACCTGTGGTTCTCGGTTTAGCGCGGCGCACATTCGTTTTAGATATGTGCAAGAGGAACGCGGAGGTTCGTTTGCAAGATGTGGCTCTCGTTTCAGCGCCGCGTTCATTCATTTTTAGTTTTATGCAAAAGGTTCACGGGTTGAAGGCGTTTCTTTTTTTCAAATTGTAGTTATCGCTTAAGCGCCGCGCGCATTCGTTCTAAACAGTTGCATGAGTCTGTTGAGCGAGGGTGGGCTGTTTTCAACATGCGGTTCTCGCTTTAGCGCGCCGCACATTTGTTTTACACATGTATAAGAGTTCCACGAGTTCATATATTCAACGTGCCAGAAGTTGTGTTTTGGAACGATTCGGGATTGTCAGGACGGAACAATTACGTTGCTTCTTCGTGGTGAAGTCCCATGAACGGCGTTTTGGTGCGATTAAGGATCGCCATTACGTACAGTCAGCTTAACCCGTGGCGTCGAGGTCATGCGAATGGTGTTTCGGCAGGGTTCACAGTTTTCACACGGCTGTTCCCCAACAGGGCATTCCCCTCAGTTGGAAGTGACTTGTTGTAGGGGCTTGTGAAGACGGATCTTTGAGGGATGGTGTATTTCATCATCGTTGATGAGTTTTGGGTTTGCATTGGTCCTCCCCCTCCTCCTCCTCCTCCTCCCCGTGCACATCGTCAGTCGTATCAAGCAAGAGATCCGTCGTCTGTCTGTAAGCTTGTTTTCTTCCTCTTCACTCCTGCACGTCATGCTGCGCTTGGGTCTGGAACTTCCACACCAGGTGAACGCTCATAGCACATCCCGGGGCACACCAGCTTCGCTTCGCATTCTTCAAGTACCATTGCAGCGATACGTTTCACAATCTGGTGGAGGATGAGCACCCTCACACTACCCGCGGTGATGGACAACCGTGGCAAAAAGCCCGCCATCGCCTCGCTTTCAGGAGTTGATTGATTATAAGCCTACCTATACGACCACCCTGCGGGTGATAAGGAGGTTGGGGGGGAGGGGCCCAGCAATGGGCAACAGTGGTGAATGTTGTTGTGACAGTGCCAGTGGAGATCGTTGCGTTGCCGCTCGCTCTTGGGAGCGTTGGTGTCGAGTTGTTTACGTCACCCTTTGCTCTTTGGCGCCTTGGTACCATTCGGCCCTCCCCCTGGGAACCTGCCCAACTTGCGCAACGGCAGCTAACGGCGCCATTTGGCCACAGAAGACTGAAGCGTCGGCAAAGCTTGGCGTAGCCTGCGCCCCCTCTTGCACGATCGATATCACTATCGATCTCTTTATCGGTATCACTCATCGATCTCATTCGATCAATCTCACCATCGGTCTCACAATCGATCTCATCATCGATCTCTCTCGGCCGGTCTCACTATCCCACACACGATCCCACCATGCCGCTCGACACACATGCCGCTCGACGCACATGCCGCTCTCTCCGTGTCTCCGCCCATGCCAGTCGACACGAAGACCCTCTGCGCAAAATCGGCAGCACGGCCGGGCCGCTCACTGTCAACGGCGAGCTGAACTGAAGAACTGACGGTGAGGATTCGGCAGCCCGGCCTGCCCGCTCACTGAC